GGCCGAGATATGGGGCTGGGGCTACTACTAGGCGTGGGGCAGGGTGACGTGGGGTTTGGCGTTTGGGAGAGAGACAGAGAGTGAGTGTGTGTAAGAGAGAGAGAGAGAGAGAGAGAGAGAGAGAGAGAGAGAGAGAGAGAGAGAGAGAGAGAGAGAGAGAGCGCTGTGATATTGGAGGCGTGGCGTGGTGCAGGGTGTGGCCCGGCTCGCGTCGCCCCGCTTCGCATTCCTGCTGCTGGCGGGCGCGAATAAGCCGCCAGTAGCTAAGTCGAGAGCGGCCTCCCACGGCGTCTCCCCTCGCCCCGCGCACGATGTGACGACCACACCGCGGCCGGCACACCGCGGGGCGTTCCAGAACAGACCAAAGGGTACGTTCAGTTGACTGACAATGGGCAGCACAGTGATGAGGGAGGAGGAGACAGCGGAGCAGGAGCAGCGCGAACGGGGTGCAGCCTACCCACTCCTCCCGTCCACGCGTGTCTTCTTGCACTGGCTGGGACAGGGTCGCCTCCGTCCGTCTCTCCCTTATTCCCTCCCTCCCTCCCTCCCTCCCTCCCTCTTCGTGTTCTCTCCGGTCTCCCACCACCACTTTCACCTCTCACCACTCCCTCCCCGTATAAGGATGAGCTACGCTCTGAATAAAGGGTTTTGTCCGTCCTCTAGACGAGGTGCATAATTTTTCGCCGCGGAGAGAGAGAGAGGGAGAGAGAGAGCTGGGGGCAGGTAATAATGCGGGTAGAGGGAGAGAGGAGAGGGGGAGGCTTGCGTCATGGGTTTGCCGCTCGGACCCGGAAGTAGTGGGCAAAGTGAAGGGGGCGGGAGAGGAGAGATTTGTGAGTGGGGGGCACTGTTTGGCACTGTTAAAAACATTTGACTTGCCGGCTCACTTACGCATGTTTTAATCGTCTTGTTTCAGGCAAACTTGCTACGGCTGCATGATCATCTGGCAGCGACACATCGACGTCCTGCAGTACAAGGAAGGTGAGTCGAGTCACGTGTGGCCTTCGCCGCGGCACAGGGAAGCGAAAGAACAAAGAAACGGAATGTGGTCAGTGACCGCTGCTGGCCGCTGCTGGCCGCTGCTGGCCGCTGCTGGCCGCTGCTGGCCGCTGCTGGCCGCTGCTGGCCGCTGCTGGCCGCTGCTGGCCGCT